AACAGTCCTTGCTCCAATCTTTGTATTTAGAATACCAAAGTCTTCCACGTCAATTCCTAGATTCCACGTAGACGTATGTGTGGGCACACGTGAGACAAAACAGGTTTCTTAAACATTCGAATTTCCACAAACACCAATGTATGCACGATGTGGAATTTTTGGAGAAAAATATTTTCTCTCTCTTTTTTGCTTTGAGAACTTCGGCCACCTAACTCTTAGGGCTGAAAAATATGTTTCAAAAATTGTCCACAATTTTCTATCATTCTCATATTTAAAGAGTAGAAGTCAAACTTCAAAACAGGATCAAATCCCTATCTCCAATTTTGAGTTTCGGAACAAAAATCCCTTCCCCTTATCTCCAAGGTGGCCGGCCATATTAGGGTTTTCTAACCCTGTGTGTGGCGCCAATTCAGATAGGGAAGGAAGAGAAAAATCATCATTTATCCTGTAGTCCAATTTTGATTCAGATTCAAATTCAAATTTAAATAATCACATTATTTAAATAATAATAATTAATTCTCAATTAATTATTTTTTGAGTATTTAATTTTAGAATTTTGTAATTCTAAAATTCCCATTTTGCCCTTTGTGTCTGGTAGAATTACAAGGACGACGCGGGGACTTATGAACCTATAATCCCGAGCTCCAATAAAATTAATAATTAATTAAACACTTTAATTAATTAACTAATTCTATTAATTCTAATAGTTACTCCACTATAAACTTGGAATTGAACTCTCGAAATTATAGACATTAATTACTTCTAAACTGCGAAGTGTCCATTTGATATAGTCATTACATATAGATCAATCATCCATAAATAATTCATAATTAGAGTCAGGTATAATCCGTTAACCTCTCTAATTATATCTGCATCCTTGAGTACCATTGAGTCTCTAATGGATAGTGATTCATAAAACACATTCATGAACCAGAGCGCTCTTACTAATCCAAGTACCGAATCAACACTCAAGAGAATTATTTATGTACTTCTTTCTCAAGAAGGAATGGATTCCATCTCGTATAATAACATTCCCAGCTACATATTTTATTATGTCTCTAAAATACAAGAAATAGGATTCAGGGTCTCGAAATCCATACTGAGTAAATCAAAAGACATAAATTCATAAATAGGAGTTTGTTAAGAACTCAGGATTAAGATCATCCTATATATGACCATCGGTAGACTCAATTAGAATTTCTATGCTTAACGGAAATTATTAGAAATTCATATTGTGTCTGTGTCCTTGTTCCACATAATCTTATTATGCGAAATACACTCATTCAATATCTCACCATATTAACAGTGCGGATAACACCGTTCCATTCTAAATGGGAATGACATGTATTAATAATGTTTTAATTAAAGATTCCGAACTTTAATTAAATTCATCATGAATAATGTTTTTGATTATTATCCTCAAACACTATTCTCTCGTATATAACACTTATATACTATGTTTAAGGTTACATAAACAATCACGAAATTTTCATTTGATATTCATAAAATATTCAT